TTTTTTCTTCCAAAGTCATTCCAAAAACAGGTATGTTCTCCAGAATTGTAGAAGTCACTCAGTAAGTAATATAATTGTAATGATGTGGTGCAGTCAATGCGTGCGCAAGTGCTGAACAGAGTTTGCTGGGGTAAGGTTGAGCTATCTCAGTCCAGTTGCGTCCTCCAGGTCCCTTACCAGTGAGTTGGAAATGAGGTTTGCCTGTAACCATACAAATGCCACGACCATTGCATTGTTGGTTGACCCGATGTAGATCATCCCATTCGATGTTTCCACAAACAAATTTTGTGTGTTTCTTCCATCTGGTCCCAAACCGGCAAAAATCGGTGTACACTGCATGAACGTGCGTCTGTGAGCAAACTCTGTCCCAAGCAGGTAAATACCAACACTTTGAACTTGCTGGATTTTCCAAGATCCACGGAATCCGATATTTGTCCAGAAGCTTGATCAAAGCGAAACATGACTTGAAACACGCATTGCCCAGTTGTATGTTTTCCAACTCACTGTCTGTCAAAAATACTGAAGGTATTCCCCATGGATATTCACGTGTCCGAATGACCTTGGTCCGGTCGCGAGCGACTGAAAAACTGTTGCAAGGTGGAGCCATCATGACTGCAATGATTTTGCCTGCTTTGATGTCGCATTTCAACTTGTACAAAACATTGCGGCTTGTCAAATCACATTGATGACCGAGCCTGATGTCCCACTGCTTGCTAACAAAACCTAGTCTCTCACAAGCCAAGGCGACTCCACCGCATCCGGAGAAAAGGTCTGCTACGTAGTGTCCTTTGACATTTCTCCGAGGCGGCTTGAGTCTGGACACTTCTTCTTTCCAAGCATGATGTCGTCGAACTTTGCCTCGCAAGCCAGGGCGTAGTCCCGGGTCCTCTCCGGTACCTGCTCCCAACTCCGGGCCAGGCGGGCGGCCTTCTCGTACCGCACGCACGACTTTGTGCTCTTCCACTGTCCCCTCTTTTGCACTTCCAGCTGACTTCTGTATTTTCGACTTCTGTCGATCGAAGGTCCGCTGTGTCTGGTGTGGTAGGGCTCGAGGGGCACGTTCATCTGCTTGGCACACTTTTTGAACACTGCCAGGTACTGGCCATAGTCGAAGTCCCAGAGAGGACTGTTTCCGCTCTTATTGGCCTTCATTGTTTTCAGAATCTTCCCAGCCCAGCAGTTGGTATAGGGAGAGTCCAACAGGATGCTCACGTCGAAATCTCCCGTCTTGGATGGCTCCTGCAACTCTTCTGGGCTCAACAAAAGACTCCAGCTCCCAGTCACTCCCGGCGCTGGTCGCACGAGGCTGAATGTCTTCAGCCTCAAAAGCTCTGAAGGGCGGCTGTAGGTGGAGAGGGCTAGCGTCACAAAAACGGCCATCGTGGGAAATCCATGTTCCATCATCAAACATGCCAGGGCACACGGCGCACCACACGCTCAGGGGGTAAGGCACCCGCGAGCGGCCAGGGCACAGACGTCTCCACCCTTTCAGACATCGAAGGGCTCTTGGGATCTTCCTGACCCCGGACTTGCTGTACTCCGGATAGTGGTGCATCCAGCTTGCAATGAGCCTGTCCCCAACATAGGCCTGGTGGCCAGCCAGATAGCAATGATTCATGTATTGCACCATCAAGCGGTCCACGGTCTCGCCCTCTTTCAGGTTCAGGCCGCGGCATCCGGCATAGTCCATGAAGGCCTTCAACTCTTTCTGGTACATCTTCTCTGAGGCGGTGCCTATGGCCTTTCTTTCCAGCAGTGTCAGGTCTCCACTGGTCTTGCCCTCCATGACGACGTACTTTCTTCTCCGGTACTTGGCACGGCTGTGCAAGCTTCTCTTCTTCTTCTTCGCCAGGTCGGGCTCGCTGCTGCTGTCTGAACTGCTTGACACGGAGTTCCGGGTCGACGTCATGGTTCTCTCTTCCCCGGTTCTCCAAGGTCGGAACCTTTCCCAGCACTCCTTTCGTTGCCAGCAACTCTTGGGTCTCTGTGCACTTCAGCGAGCTTTCCTTGCGAGGAGGTCGATTGGTCTGTGTGCTTCGGCCCGGGCTCAACACTCGCTGAACGCGAGCGGCTTTCTTTGGAGGCTCTTCCACTGGCAGGTGCAAAACACGTGTCCTCTTGGGCGCCATGTGGCACAGGGAGCTTCCCCTGTGGTATGTTGGAGGTGAGCAACTTAGAGGGTTCATCTGTATTGTATCGCGATGGTTCATCTGCATTGTTCAACTCACTAGGAATCCAACGGAAACACGGTTGTATGCCCCTTGCTATGCAGTAGGAATTAAAAAGCCTCACCTGTTTCAAGAGCCCAAACTGCCGACTCCTACACCTTTCAAGCGCCAACGTCAATGACATGTTGTCCAAAAGAAACAACTGCCGGATCTGAGAACCATATCGGCTCAACGCCACCCGACGCAACGCCTTCACCGCAGCCTGCGCCTCTAAGGTGATGATGCCTTCTGGATGGCACCACTTGCCCCAGAGCTTTGGCTGCCACAACTCTTTCCTCAACAATCGGGCTGGCACTTCTTCGAACTCATGATTCAATGTCCATCCGCTCAGGTCCAAATACTCTTCTGCTGAGATCTCTCCGCTCCGGTCTTCCATGCACCCGTGATGTCGTCCCGAACGAACCCGGCTGCCGTCAACGAAGACTCTCTAGCTGAGTGACTTTCTTTACGTCTGAACCTATTGCGTTCTTTTTGCCTACCAACTGACTGAACATCAACCCTGTCCCAAAACGAAGTGCAAACGCCAAACCCTGTGAGGCTAGCATCACTGCTGCAGACCATGTTGTTCCAGGGCCTCCACCAGTCGGCGCGCAAGAAGATCATCAGTCCTGCGAAGGCTGATAGCTCGGCTCGGGCTGTATCCCAAAGTCTTGCTGCTTCGAAGTAGTGGGCCCTGATGTACTTGTAACTATTGTGAAAAACGGCCAACAACATCCGATTGTTTAATGCACAAAATGTTGCATGTCCAATCACTACCTCTAGCATCTGACCTGTCACCCTCTTCCGCATCAACAAGCCTCTAATGCTCTGTCGGACTCGATGATAACGCTCAGGGCATATACGAGAACAGAGGTTCCTACCATCCAGTATAGTCCCCAAAGCTTTAGTCTCTTCACTGTGCACTTCTCCTGGATGAAGCAGCAATCCCTTCCGCCCAAAGTGGTCGTCAAGTTCCTCAAGGGCCGTCAAGGCTACTGCACGATGGGGGGATACCACTCCCAGGTTGTCCACGTAGACATAGTGTCTTGTCGTGGTCTGTTCTTGTTCTCGACACTTCTGACTTCTGAAAACCACGGGCCTCCCTTTGTCTGAGATGAGTGTGGAGTCTCTCAAGCTCTTTGTCAATGCACACTGATGCTCATTGATCTGTTGGCAAAAATAAAGGCTCCAAGAAAAACCCATGCATAAACTCCCAGGCATTGGATAGATAATGTCGTTGCTACCCAACTTCACTCCCTCTAGTTCCTTCCCAGCCATCCCAACCCAGTGCGCACGAACAGGTTTGAAGCAGAAGTATTCCGCCAACCATCTAGGTTGTTTCAGCCGGTGAAAACAGTCCTTCACGTCTGACAATCCGATGTGCAGCTCCATCGATTGAAGCTCCTTCGCAAACTCTGGACTGCCCGGAAGGATGTTGTCAGGCACTTCGCACTCGATGCGACTGAATCCTTCGCTTGAACATAGTTCTACCCCTGGGGGGTCCCTAAACAAAGCGTTAGTAGACCTGGCGTCTACAATCAGCCGGATTCTCTGCTTGTCGCTCTTGTGAACAAAAAATGCCCCAACTTGATTCTTCGGCTTCTGGGTGTACTGCAAAAGACCTATACTATCCAACTTTTGAATGAAGCTCCTATAGTGGTGTTTGTTGTTCGCCAAGACAGGATCCCAATAAGGTTTGGGGGTGTCCACAATCTCCCCATCCCTAAGCATGAGCTCTTCTCCCAACAAAAATCGACGGGCATCGACCGGCAACAAGTCCTTGGCCTCAGGAAGGTCATGCAAGCTGCTCGGCAACGAGATACGCTCGAGGTTGTAGGGGGCTAAAGCAACAGGGATATCAGGCCTGCTATATTCTGATTTCCCCTTGAGCAGCTCCCCAAGGACTGCCTCAGGACTGGGAACTCGTTCCAGGCTGCCCAGCCGTCCGGCGTCAAGGGCAAGGTCTTGAATTCTCTGAAGAACCTCCACCTGTAAAGCATCTGGCTCTCCAACTGTACCATGCAAAAAAGTGTGTCCAGCCATCCAATTGAGTCCTTCCACGGCCTCCTTGACCGTAGTCATGTGTCTCTGTCGACGGTCACTCCTCTGCTGCGACCTCCGGCTTCCCCGTCTCGGGGAGGTTGGCACCTGAGGGACTGGCAGAGGAAAAAGGTCACGGGAGCGACTCGAAGGATCCGGCTTGTTGCCCCCCAATGCTGCTAGCCTCTGAGAGACCCCCTTTGGTTCTTGGGAGGTCTTGGAGGGCCTCTCATCATCATCCATCATTGATCACCAGGCGGAGCAAGTTGCTTCGCCTTGGCTCTCTTCTTGGGCTTTGCAACCACTCCGCCTGCGGGCAAGTTTCCATCAGCCACCGCACCAGCTGCAGCATCTTCCACTGGAGCTTGCAACTTCTTGTACTCTCTCATCTTGGTACGAGCTGCTGCCAACTCCACTTCTTCTTTGCCTTTCTTGGCTGCCCATGACCTGAGGTTCGGAGACACCAGGTCTTCTGGTCCTTGGTACCCAGACATGATCTTTGCTGCGCCCCAATCTGGAGAGGAGGCGGTCCCACTGTTGTAGGCGTCCACAATGCTCTGCACACGTCGGCCTAGGGTCTGGAAGCTTGCCAAGCTTCCCAGGTTGAGCTGATCATAGCAACCTGCGTGTTCAAAGCACTCTAACAGGGGCCGCATCTCGTGCATGGCCCGGTCGTTCTCATACACGCCTTTGTGTCTGGCCCAGATCTGCAGCCATTGCTTGGGGCTCCCACCATTCTTCAACATGTACTTCATCAAGTGCAGGACTGACTGAGGGCCTTCTAGGGGCCAGTCCGAGTAGGCGTACTCCCTGGCATCCTTGGTGGCCTCTCGCCAGGATCTGTAGCGTTCTCCTTGGTCGTCATAGTAAACGCTCAGGGTTCTGGCATCTTCCGAGGTCTCCTCCGTCTCCTCTGCATTGGTGTCGGTCTTTTTCTCGACACCGGCCTTTCCAGTCAGTCCTACACGAACCTCCAGGCGGGATGTCATCAGCTTCTCTCTTTCCTCGATGAAGGCCGGGGCACTCTCGATCTTCAACAATCTCACCAGAGTCCAGCCTGTCTCATGCCCATGAGTACTGTCAACTTGTACTGCCTTGTCCAAGTCGCTGGTCACCTCCTTGCCAAGATCCAAATGCGGACTGTCATGCACTGCTGCCCACATATGGCCCTCACCCGCCGGGGTGACGGGTCCGGTGAGTACGCCACCGTCCCGCCTCCGGATCCTGCGAGGAACCAACAATCGCCCCAAAAACTCACTGGCTTCAACTTCACGACCGTCCATCTGGTAGATCTTGCGGGGGGTCCAAGAGAATGTACCCGTTCCCAGCTCTCCCAACTCAGTCAACGCTTGCTCGATGTATCCCTTGAAGGTCTCATCGTCGGGGTACTCACGAAACCGATAGACGGGTTGGGTGATCCGAGAAAAATACTGGAAGTCCATGCCCTTACCCTTCACCTTGAAACTGACGGGTCCATCGTCTCCCAACCCTGACCAGTCTTCTTGGTAGAAGTCTCCATCAGGTGTCAGAACAAACCAGGTGGTGGGGTTAGAACGCCAAATCATCAACCGCTCATGATATACGTTGTCGTCACTGTACCATACAATTGCCACCTGCCCTGGATGGCGGATGGACAACACCTCCTCCGCGTCTGCGCGGGCTCGTAAATGAGTCATCCAGGTGGTTCGACCGATCCCCTGAAGTCACACAGCCCTTGACAAACACACAGGCCAGAGCTAAGATGATGCCTAGCAACGTTCCAATCAAAAAATCTGATCTTCCCCTTCCCTCCAGGCAAACACACTGACAGGCACAGGTCTGGTTGATCCAACTCGGAGAAGCTTCTGAGGGCCTCGTCTCCTTGGGCCAATTGCGAAGACCCACTTCCACCAGTCGGGCCAGCGCCAAGAGGCCCAGCGACGAGGGCTTCATGCGCCCCAATCCCTTTCACTTGAGCACCACACATTCAAACAGTTCATGTGTGAACGCGTCAGTCAAAAGTGTCTCCTTCTATTTAGTCTTCCTGTGAAAATCACTCACAGATGGTTTGGGATCCGTACCACGTCTTCCAGGATCGCTTCATCACAACGAGCTGGGACTCGAAATGACTGCTTCCGCTTCGGCCGCTTCGGCCGAGAAAACCCTGTTCTACTCCCTTTGCCCTTCGAGGCCCTTCGAGGCTGGCCCATTGCCTCCAGTGGTGGTACGCGTGGCTTCCCATCGAGTGGTTTCCACTGATTCCCGTGCACATTCCACTGCATCCCAAGCAGCATTTCGCTGCAGAGCTTGGCCTCAGTGCGGTCCCCTTTTTGGAAGAATCGAGGGGGTCCAGTTGGGACCATATCTGGTTGTTCACTTGAGGCATCCCCTCTATCAATCAACCAACCAAAATAGTGCCATCTATGGTGTTTCTCCACATCGAGTCACTGCCGGAGCTTGTGAGCCGAAGAAAAAGCAACCCTTGTTGTGTCCGACATGAGGGCTTTTCTGAGTTCACCGGGTGTCTTGTGCGCATGGGTTACAGCTCTAAACAACAAATGCTTGCCATGAAGCCCTATCCTACATTGCATCCAGTCCATATGTCTATGTATCATAGCTTTCAATTGATCCCCAACATGGTCTTTTCCAAAGAATCAAGAATGGAGGGGTCCACCATGACCTGCACATGTCCTTAGTGAAAACTCTCTAAACATGGGAACCTCATGGAACTCAAAAGACTCGCACCGTGGTTCGCGCGTCCAACCCGTGCGGCCGAAGAGCTAAGGAGTCTCGGAGGCTTTGTCGACGCCCATCGGATCCGGGGATGCGTAGGCGGCTCGGTTGGGAAGGCTCCTGGTGGGTGAAGACGGTGGCGAGGTGGAGAGTGGCGGGTGGCGGGGTGGAGATGGAGGGTGCAAGTCATTGGACCTTCTGCAAGACCTTCTGCAACTAAGAATAACAATGCTTTTTTTTCAAAACAGTCTGGTGGATTATGGCCTCTCCATGCATAAACCTGGGTGTTGGAAACAAGAACAAGGACAGCGGCTCTCTGGGTCATGGCATTTTCGGAGACCGACTGAGTTGGGAGCGACCGACTTCTAAAGCTCCACATCCCCCCCCTTAGTCCAGGCACCCAGCGACCTCCCTGGGAGAGGAGACCAACTACCACATACTACTACTACTACTACTACTACTACTACTACTACTACTACTACTACTACTACTACTACTGCTTACCGTAGGGCTACTAGTGAGGCTTACATCAATCTCATGAATCTCACATGTATGTCTGGGACACACCTGAGGTCTGAGGTTGTTACCCTAGGAAGCCAGTTTCACCGCAACGCTACATTCCCCTCCCTGTGAATTGGAACCGGAGGTGGAGAGCGGAGGCACCGCTTAGCAGCACAAATCTTGGAAGGTCCACGGTCCAGGGAAACAATATCCTTGATGTAACAGCCTGGAACTTCTGAGGAGCTATATATGCTAGCATATCGCCTCTGGACTTGGGATGCAGTACTCACAGGTCATTCCAAAATTCGGTGATCCTTTCCTCCAGATTTTTCTGCAGAGTCCATGATACAGCGGCGTCTTCGCCTTCGCTTTCGGCCGCTCCGCGTCCGCGTTCGCCGGATTGATCGCCACCCTGCGAAGAAGTCGCTCCTCCTCTTGAACCACGCTCAGCCCGGAGAAGGAGTCGGCCGTGTTCTCCGGGTCCTCTGATCTCTAAAGATCTGGACCAGGTGCTTCACTTCCGAAGAAGTCAATGACAGGACTTGCTAGATTAGTACTGCTTGGTGTTTTCAACCGGAAACATATGAGTCAGAGGGTCCAATCATCCCAAAGGGATTGGGTTGAAAACCACAATTATGGCTCGATCCGATCAGGTTTGCTTGGTCTACATGAAGTCCTTGGCACCGATCCGAACACTCACCGAACCAGCAAGCGGATCCGCTGGGAGGAGGCCGTGGTGCAGGCCGCCGTGAATGAATGGCCGTGGCGGCGCTGGGAGTCACTTGAGCGAACAAGTTCCGGTAAAGATCTTTTCGAAACACCGGAAACATCTGCAATGGTGTAAGACACAGACTAGCACTCTAAGCACAAGAAGAACATTCATAAATGTAGATGAAAACAAGTTGCGCACACTCTCAGACTTGGGCATGTGTTTCCTTGTGAGTGTATGTCTTACGGTAGTCATCACGTTTCCTCTCATCCAAATGTCCTCTGCAGCCCCCGTGAGCGTTCGAGACTCCTGCGAACGGAGACCAACGGCATGGGCGTTCGATGGAACCCGAGACGAAAACAGGTGCAAGCACAACTCTGCAAAGTGAACGGACAGTGCCTTTTGTATCTAGAAACAATTCTTACAAGCACAATACCCAAACACTCCACGGGACTGCCATATATATGCCTACATTAGGGTGGTTCGGGGGGTCAATGTAGGCATACATGGCAGTCCCATTAGTCGTGCCTGGGATAGGAATATACTAATGACTTTGGGAACATGAAAAGAGGGACAGTGGCTAATCATCCTGCACAGCATTGCACAACGGTTGACACCACTCAGTATGACCAGGCAGCCTCGGAGCCCTATGAACCGGAGTTGACTGGGCATGAGATCTCTAGACCCACTATCTCTACTGAGCTACAAAGCGCCCGCACGGTCGCCAGGCGCACATCATCCAGGTTGTGAACATACAGCTAGGCTCACATTTCTTCCAAGCACTACAGGCCAAGAGATACAGCTCCTAGCTGTGATTTCTTCCAGGGTGTGTCTCTTACAGGCCCCTAGCTGTATCTCTTGGGAAACTTCTTCGGGGGAGAGAACCCTCCTATGACGATCACAGAGATGAAGAAGGCGACTCATCAGCTTGCGCTGCGCACTCCGCTGCGCTCTCGGCTCTCCCGCCTGACGATCTTCGGAACTTAACCAGCCGAAGACGTCCAAGTAGAGCCTCGGCACGGAACCGAGGTGAATTGAACCGTTGGCCCGGTAGACTGGGTAGACTGGTCTATTTTCCTTCGCAGGTCGAACTTAGCGTTCGCCTTCCTGGTAGACGGGCATGGGTAGATTGGTCAGTCTCGTGGCGATAGAGAAATAGTATCAGCAACTGTAGAGCTCCGAAACACTATTGGTGGTGACTTGGAGTTGTTGACAGTACAAAATATCAGGACACAAAAAGGGACGCACAGGACATTCTGCAGAAGAGCCGAAACTGACATCTAATTACCAAGTTTTGCTAGCCTGCCATTCTTTTGGTTGTCGAGTCTAGTCTTCACCCACCACATATTCCACTCCGCACGTTCGAAATTCACACAAGTCACTTGGCCCCCAAGATACGTCTCGTGTATTGCAGGTGTTTCCACCCCTTCAGTTGATCTTCCGCAAGATACCTTTTGTGACTGGGCAACTTGTCCAACAGTTTTGGAAAAGCCTAAGCTCGCTGTCGCTGGTCTCTCATGTCATGATCGAAACTGACACTCTCCGGCGGAGGGGCTGGGGATGCCCTCACCGGGCATGCCATCGTGTTTTGTCAGTCCAAAGCACCCCGAGGTCCACGAATTACTTGAGGCCAAGGGGGGGGCGAAAGCTAGCGCTCCAGAATGGGAAAGTGGAGGGCAGCGAGGAGCAGCACCATTTCCCTGTTCCCGTGTAATGTGGCTTTAGATACCAGGTGAACGATTTACAAATACATCTCGAAGCCAAATAGGCTTTGGTAGCAGCGGGTCTGCACGGAGTAGCAGAAGGCAGGACGCCTTGCACAAGTTGGGCGGGGCAAACGATTCCAGGTGAAGAGTCCTTTATATGTGGCTCTTTGCCCGGATCCTCCTGCGAGAGAAGAGAGAGAGAGAGAGAGGAGAGAGAGATGAGAGAGAGATGAGAAAGAGATGAGAGAGAGATGAGAGAGAGATGAGAGAGAGATGAGAGAGAGATGAGAGAGAGGAGAGAGAGAGAGAGAGACAGTGAGAGTGAGAGTGAGAGTGAGAGTGAGAGTGAGAGAGTGCGGCTGCAAGATACGCAACGCTAACCGCATGCCAAAGAGCGACGACAGGACGGAGTCGAACGGAGTCGAACTTGCGAAGAGGGAGGAGGGAGGGAGGGAGGGAAGATGGAGGAAGACAAGGAGGAGGAGAGGAGAGGTGGGGAGGGGGGGGGGGGGGGGGGGGGCTTCGGCCTGAAAGATCAGGGGGGAGGGTTTGCCCCCGATCGAAAGAAACCCTTCTAACGCAAGAGTAAGTCCAGCTAGCTTCGCTAGCTTTCGTGACATGGCGAAACCCACAGGTGGCTTCGGCGCGGAGAAGGAATCCACCAAGACACACCCCAACACAGCTCCCCATGGTCTGCAGCTTAGGGGCACAGCCCGGAAGATCGTGGGCAAATAGATGTTGTTGATCACTTTGCCCTGCGTTCTGACAGGTTGTTGAGCACCTCTTCAGGTTCACCAAACACCATCAAACCTAAATGGAATCCAAATGGTTTCCAGCAAATCAAACGTTTGGAGAACCTGACAACCCCCCGCTTAACAGCTCATCGTTTGATTGAACCAAAGCTGGGAGCACAATCTATCCCTATTGCACTGTTCTGTGCGCATGTTTTTTGTGTTTAACGTGGTCTTCATCAAAGCCTTCTGATCTTGACCAGCCTGTGGTTCAGATCGTGTGCGTTCCCAGTGACGTGGAGTCTGCGATGCTGAAAAAGCTACTGCTACCTTGTAGCACCAAGAGCACCGGTCAAGTCAAAAAAAACTTTCATCACGGTTCCAGAGTACCACAGTTGCACTGAATTTCTCATTGGCAATCCCTCTCTTCCTACAGTAGTCGTTCCCCATTGAAGCATTGGAGTCAAAGAGGTTCCAAAATGCATGCCTATGGCCTAAGCTACCCCAGTGAATTTAACCTCATCTGAAGAAAACAACAAGTTTCCGTGCTCCACCTAGAAACGCGCTGCAGTTTCAGTGGGGGCGTTCCCGATGTCATCGCGCCCGCCACCTCGCCACTGCCGTCCCGATGTGGTGGGGCGCCTTTGCCCAAACCAGCAGAAGGCCAAGCCTGAGGCCAAACCAGCATGAAGCCGACAAGCCAGTTCATTGAAACGTATTGAACCTGAACCGTGGACCATGAACCTGCTTGTGGTTTCAAATCACAAGGAGCTTCAATGTCAAAACTTGACATCGGGGGGTTGGAGTTGCTTGGATGGTCAGCTCCATCAAGAAACAATCTGGTACTTGGATTGGATGGCTTGTTAGCTTAGATCGTCTAGACTGTCTAGAACCATGATGCTTACTTGATCCTGTATCTTGCCGCAAAACTGAGCTCTGAGGGCACTAATTCACAAGAACACATCACTCATTTTTCTAGACTCTGGTCTTCGTTGTCTGTCCTTCTGACAGTGAGGGCTTTGGAAGAGATTGGACTTCCGACATCCTGTTTGAAGTGCCCCCACATTAGCAAAAGTGCCTTGGCAGAGTGTTGACACCGTCAAGACTCAAACTTGGGCAGGCAAAGTGAGCAATACCAAATGTATAATTGAAATGCATAATTGTCCGCAATCCAATCTTGGGGCTGTTCCGGGGTGTTTCAGCTTTTGACCCGGATTTGAATCTGTCCAGCCGAAGGCCTTGAACTGTCCAGCTGAGTTACTCTTGCTCCACAGGTTTTGGCTCATTTAACCATGGTCGTGATTTGCTTATAAAAATCCGAGGCTTTGAAGACCCTCCTGCATCGTGCTGGAAATGATGAACGTAGTACTTCCACAAGCAATTGTTTTGTGCCTTCAAACTGCTTTGTTTTCTGTGCGTGGGTTCGGGGGAAAAGATGGAGTGGGTTTGGCAGGTGATATTTCGACGCTCCTTCGATATTTCAATCAGAAAAGCACCAAACCCTAGGTCCAAAAGGCCAAAGAATGTGCAGGAAGAAGGCCGCCGGCACCAGCGAATCGCCCAAGAGTTCTGAGCAGGAAGGCATGGGTCATGGGGCGGAGCCCGACCCAGTCCACCTACCAATACCTACGGACACCAGGTGAACCATGGTGAACGGGTCAACCTGAAGCCATTTTCCCGCGATCAGATGACACGAGGACGACAACACGAGTCGACAACACGAGGACGTCTGAGGACGTTGAGGGGTGTCTTTTCATGGCTTTCTCTACAGTGTTAGTTCGATCTTTTGAGGTCTAACGACCTGATCAAATGTCCTGATTCTTGACCACGTCCTCATGTTGATTCCAATGTGTGTGGCGCATGGAGGCGCATGGAGGCGCATGGAGAAAACGGTTTCATCTTGAAACATCACACTTCAACAAACTATAGACTTGACTTGGGGGGGCTGCAATCTCCCTACATGAAGGTGTGTGCGGCGACCATCTGCAACCCGTCTTCATCCCAGGGAGGTTAAGCTTCTGGAGGCCAAGAATACTGGGATTGGGTGCTCAGAATTCACTTTGGGCAGCAGTAGTGGGACTGCACGCGGCCTACTTAATTCAGCTCCCGCGTGTGCAACGACCTGCAAACACCAAACACCAATCATCAAAATTATGTCCCTTTGAAACTCCCTCGGATGACCATATTCCTCTACACACAGGTGGCGCCATCCACTTCCATGATGACTTCGGGAGTGTGCCCCTTGATGTTCGCGAAAGGTCGCAAGATCTGCAGCAAAGAGTCTCCAGTATGCACTTTTACCGTCCAACCTGGGGTGAGAGGTCGGAACGCCCCCGTCTGGTCGGGTAGAGCCTGTCGCAGAACGAAGGTTCCTGAAGAAAGAAGACATGAGAAGACCGAATATCTGGACTTCCCAACTCTGGTCTCCCAATGTTCCCCCTGTCCCGTTGAGAACGATACAGACTGGCCCACGAAACACAGCTTCATAGTCGCAAACTTTTGCTTTGCTAGTTCGGAACGCATCAGTTAGAAAACATCTCATCTCCTCCGAATAGAAACATCAGGAACATGGGGAATGTATGGTAATTACCCAGGCACGACTTGTCTGGGACTGCCATAGGACTGCCGCCCCTTCTTTTGCCCCCAGTGAAATAACCCCTGGCCGTTTCTCGGCAGTCCGGACTGGAAGTCCCAGACAAGTCGTGTCTGGGTTATACAAATCACTGCAGGTCATTCACAGAGCCACACAGGCGTGACACTTGCGACGTCGAAAGGAGAGGCGCCATGGCGTCGCTGAAACCCTCCATCTGTGGGTAAACCAAATCCTCTCGCCCTTGCCAGGGTAGATTGCACCCCTTTTTTGGGGGGGTTTGAAGCGCTCCACGGTGGTGTTCTCACCACCCGCTTCAACGGCCATCCGGTCGGCGCACGAAACGCTTCGCACAACTCACACGGCCACGTGGCGTCAACATGTTGAGGATCAAACTCACCCCGGCAATCATTGGTGGCAACCTGCAGCTGGCAGTCATGGTCTTCCACCCGGTGGCCAAATGAGAACACACGTGCTGTCGGTGGTGGAGAAATCCATTCAGTTCCTGCTATGTCAACTTGAAGGAGCCAAGATCATGTCCCAGACACTCCATGTATGGCATATATGCCGCCCCATTGACCCCTGGAACCACCCCAACTGATCGGCAGTCCTATGGCAGTCCCATTAGTCGTGTCTGGGTGTTGTATACCCTCTGGATCCACATACCCTCAGTCAGTCTAAGGGGATGATCTTGGAGACACTCTTAGCGTAGACGTAGCCTTGGATGTTCCACTCCAGTCGCCGCACAGAACCGCGAGAAGGTATGTGGATCCCTCATGGATAGTGGGCCCAGGATCATGTATAATGTGTTTTCATGTTGTTGTGACTTCGCAAATCCAAACCTTCTTCGATGTCCTGTGGGCTTGTCTTCTTTGACAACAACACTTCCAGGCTCCCAACCCTTAAACCCTCCAACCCTCCTTAAACCCTTAAGCCCTGCTGGGGGTCGGCGCTTCGACCGGCACGTCCAGGCTCATCCCAGGCACGTATTCAGAATCCCCGCCAGGACCAAGTGCTGCAACGGCCTCGAGCGGATTGGACTTCGAGTGTTGCCACATCCAGTGGATTCAGAGGAGAGATGCGGATGGTTGGGGAAGGATTGTGGATGGTAAATCATGTAAGTTATATGTTTTTAATGTATAATTTGTATATAATTGGTATCTAATAAATAATCATAACCTGAAAGAAAGGACCTCTGGAATTTCTCTACCACTTACAGCTCCTTCTCCTGCACTTAGAGCTCCTGCTCCTGCTCCACTGCCATCCCCCAAGACGGACTCTCTGCCGAGCAACAAGTAGAGGTCCAAGCGCACCAGCAGCGCGGCACAAACACTGAAGATCACCACCGAACCTCGGTGGACCATCCGACCGGTGCACGACACCCAGCCGGACTACCCTGGGTATCAAACAGATCGGTATACAAACAGGATGCTCCTGAGTATACATTCTGAATCTGTGAAGGCATACCTCCGGACATCGCTCAGTCGACATACAGCGATGTCTGGTCTCCACCAACCACAGCAACGTCATGTCTTTGTCGACGTAATAAGGAGATCCCTGGGTAGACATGGGTAGACCATGGTAGACCATGATTCTTTGGTCCAACCGGGAGGTCTCCCTATTTCAATACACAACTAGGTCATACTAGGTCAGTAAGATAACGCTTTACCGCAAGTTGCCGGTATCACCATCGAGATTTCCTTCACGTCACCCAAGACACCCAAGGGTTTTCACATCAGACACAGGACTGATCGCATTGCTGGTACATAGAACCAAACTTAGACGATAAGTTCAACACTTCCCAAAACATGTGGGGGCCAACTTCCTTTAAAAGGATTAGATTAGATGATATTCGTAAGTTCAAAACGTCTGTGACACCGTCTAAGTGCTGGTCTTGTCCCTTGAAAATTCACCAGCTGGAAAAAGAGAACCTTCCGGATCCCATCTGACCAGCACATGGTGGGAGGGGCTTTGCGAAACGACGAACGTGCCGATTTCGAACGAACGAACGAACTGGGAAGGTCCACCTGCCCAGGGAGCTCCGCTCCCCGGAAGCGAAGGGGAGGGTGTCATAGGGAATAGCCTTCTTCACATGCCTGGCTGTGACGAGTGGTCAAGGTGAATTCCAAACTATTCCAGGTCAGACCGAACCAACAGGATCCAAAAGCCAGCTGTGAACATTTCAAAGCAACACATTTGGCCCTTCACATGAAGATGTCGTAACATCTTACTGAAACGCGCATACATCTGCTTCAAGCAAAGCCCCTGGAACTGCCAATTGACGCAACAGTCAGCAGTTCCCATGGTTCTCACAGACTTCAAGCAAAGCAGGTCCTGACACCTTCCTGCAGGTTCCCATGGTTCCAGGGGATGCGTCCCACCATCCACTTCACGCTCCGCTCCTCGACTCCGCGCCGGCGGCACCGGATGCGTCGCTCAGCCACAAATCCCCGGTAGAACGGAGTGGTTCTCCGAGATGAAGCCGATCAAGCAGGTGTAGCCCAGTTGCTGAAGGAGAGAGCGCGTCGCGCGGGTCACGCGGAACGCGTTCGCCGTGGGCCGTGGTGTTTTTTCAGCACGGTGGCACGGAGGTGGAGGTGGAAAAGAGCAGCATCTCACCGGAGGGTCTGGGCTGTCGATTTACAGTGATTTATCTTGATCTACAGTCTTTCTTTCTAGGTACAGTATAAAATAGAACATGTCAGAATCCAATGGTACTTGACTATGGAGTTTTTATCATATTGGAGGAGTCTCTGCTGTGATTGGCTGAACTTTTGAGGTCCAGCAATTCTGTAGCCCAAACACAAACACCACCTGGGACTGCCATATTATTTGCCGATGAGTCGGGGTGGTTTGGAGGATCAACGTAACTCAAGGCATAACTCTTCCATGCATGGAGCTTATTTTGGGCCGTTTGGGTAGTAGGTGTCCATTGAATCTCTGAAACTCCCGGTTCTCACCCCACCTGCAAGAATTGGTTGGTGCCCATTGCCATGCACACACGTGCGTACGCCTCAGGCCGGCAGCCGTGCGGCACGCGCACACACCGAGATCAGCATGTTTGTGTCTGAGAATCCCGCAACCTCTCCAAGGTGTTAGGTCGATATCATTCAACACACACACAGGATAAACGTGGTGGTTGCCGGGTCTCCGCGCTTCAACATCCTTATGTGGGGCTAGTGGTCCGTGCGCACGGCGTAAACACCGAATCTTTGGTTCGACCCAAAGTACACAGTTTATCAGCCAGGGCTACGATCCACAAATGGATACAAATGGAGAAAGAAACAATCCTTTTTAGATCTTTTTAGCCTAGCCTATATCGCATCTATATCATCATAAATGTGAAACGGAAGTGGAGATCCAGGTGGAAGTGGCTGTGGCTGAGCTTCGCCCCGGTCCCGTCACCCGCCGAACCACGGTTCTTTCGACCTTTCGACGTCTGAACGTTGGGGGCCATGCAATGCTCGAAGGTTGCCGCGCAGTGAAGGCGCTTCACTAGCTGCTAGCTTCCTTCCAGCTTATCAAGGCACTTCAAGGGCTTGGGGTTTTCACTTCCAAGCTTATCAAGTCTAACCAGTCTCACTTCAAGCTTATCAACGACTGCCACATACAACGTCTGCCAGATCTGGCGAGGCAAACGTCTCAAAAAGCCGAACAAAGGCAGAACGAGTTTCTTTTGTTTTCGTGTGATCGAAGAAACGTGTCTGTGCCGCAGGTGTTGAGAATCTCATCATACCTCATCAACTTCAAATCCCTTGAGGGATGAAATCAAGTTGTATTTTTTGTGTGTTCAGTCCAGATGCTTAAAGCATCTAAAAAAATCCTCCCTTAGGTCCCAACAATGGTATTTACACCTACTGTACTGTCTATAGCACAATGAGGTAAACGTTCCACCATCTTTAAATCCCTCCACCCAAAGTGACGACTTGCTGGATTCTTTCCAAGCGACGTCATAGGCTTGCCAATTCGCCTGCATGCGACGATAAAGCTTCCTGGCGTCACTGGCGACGCGACCGCGTCCACTGGGTCGGTGCCGTGGGCTCTGGAAGCGGTGGACCCCGGTGATGGTCGCGCTGGGTCGCGCTCGCGCTCGCGCTGGGGGAGTGGAGCCTGCTTGGCCTTGTTTCGATGTAGTTCGATCCCTCTCACTCCAAGGGAAAGGACTTCTGCTTGGCCCTCTCAAGGGCCAAAAAAGAACGGGTGACCCGGCGGGCTGAGAAACCGTAGCAAGGCACGAAAAAGCGGAATGCTATACCGGTGGGGGACATGAGTTTGGGGGGGGAACTTATGCTTAGTAGCCAACCTATTGATAAAATGGCGGTTCACTCCCCTAGTCATCGACCCCATATTGAAGTTCACATGTCTCTGCGAGGGGCATCTGCCTTTGGGGGAGAACAGGATGCTCTCCATGTGAGAACGAGGAGCTGCTGTCTACTCGGTCCTTGATGCAAACTGACCTTGAGACTCTCAGCAGGTAGCAATACCCAACCAGGACCATCACTTCTTTAGCAGCACTTGTAAGCCGAGGACAGTAACTGTCAGCCCACTCTTCACCTGGAGATGCCGAGCTTGAAGAGATCTTCCAAGGTCGGCCGCCCACCCGCCCTGCAGTGGTCGACCGTTGATCTTTCGGAACCAAGCTGCACATGTGCCAAGGTGTCGCTCTGCACGGGACGACCAGAGGCATCCAGCATCGTTTCCTGCGCGGCGACCGCGCGGCGCGGTTAGATTGATTCCCCCCGCGGCGGCAACAATGAAATGCAGCCCTTTCGAGATGAAGAACATGTTTGGTCGACCGGTTCCCAACACCGGTTAAAGAAGAACGTCCGGGTCCCAGCCTCTCCCGGGTCGCTCGCGGCATCGCTGCCATAGGTCGCTTCCTCCGTCAGCTGCTCTTCTTCCATCTGCTCCACCATGGTTTTCAGCCTAGCTGTGCAGCTAAAAGGCTTGATCTCTATAGATCTCTATAGGTTGTTTTGAATAAATGAGTCCCTTAAGATATTTTAACTAAAAGTCCTTACCGCGGGATGTGACATCCACAGGTTGATGTCGGAGCTTCGGTTTGAAGGTCTTGAAGAGCCTTGAAATCTCCGGGACGTGCGTTTATGTTTTTCTGAAACAGGGTTATTTTGTGGAATGACCGGGGATGACAGGTGGTCCTTGGTCTATGAAGACGCTCAGTATTTTTCCTTGGTCTTCGTTCTCACCCCAGGAAAAGCGCGCGTGGACGCGTTTTCTGCGACCGAGAGGACTTCTTCAGCTGCTGCTTGACCACGGGAAAGCGAAGCATCTCCCTGACAGGCAATCTCGTGTTCCCCGGTCATTCGACCAAAAGCTTTGGAGAAAGGGAAGGGAGAGCAAGGGAGGGCGTTGGTGGCTTAGCGCTTTGTACTAACCTCTGACTCTTCAAATATCTTCAGATCTTTAGACATTAAAGCTATAATAGGCTATATATGGCTATACAATGCTAGACAAAACCATTTCTTACCAGTGGCGCCAAAGGCGCTAATGGAGGATTTGCAGTTGTTCATTGAAGCCCAACATTACTGGGCAAGGACCACAGTGAAACTCTGTTTCTGCTGGAACGCAGTGATTCTCTTTGAAAGGAGTTATCTGACTCGCAAAATACACGAATGGCAGCATGTGCTTTGTGGCCCGTAAATTAGCATGCAAAAACAAACAAGACGCCAAGTGTGAGAGAAGGCTGCTATTGACGGCCAAGCAAAACCTTCGCTGTATCTATATATCACAAAAACTTAAGCACACATATTGTGTGATTCAGATCGACCTTTACAGTGGTTCAGGAACCTTCAAGGCTTTGCCAAATGCCTCTTACTATGCCTCTATCACTGCCCCTATCCTTAATGAAATATTTCATTGGAGAGAGCCTGTTTTCAAATAAAAAACAACAACTTAGTAGTCAGTCCCAAAAGTCAATTGGCCCAGATCCGACCTTTTCTAGTTTTTGTGTTTCTAGTTGTGACTTGTTTCCTTTTTTCCGACTTGTTTTTGTTTTTTAACCTTTTTTTTGTGACTTTGTTTGACGTTTATCTTATGTACTTTTATTTGACTTGTTTAAAGACATTTTCTACATATTTGTGGTTTTGTTTTATACTCTTCCATTTTGATGTTTTTTCTCTTTTTTTTTCCGACGTTTTTTCAAATTCAAGGATTCTGGCCTTACCATATGAAAGAATATGAACGATTCTGTTAACCCTATCCCAAAGAAGCCGCGCTTTTCCTCCGCTCTCGTCGCTCGCTCGACGGCGTCGCCTGACTTCGGCTCCTTCGAAGTCGGTCGCCAGGACCCTTGCAGCATCCAACTGCTCCTGGAGCAACGCGTCGTTGGATGAGAGGGAGTTAGGACCCCACACCAGGGGCAGTTGATGTAGAGATAGAGGCATCAAGTTGATGTTCGGCCCCAAGTTGCGACACACAAACCACCCGAACTAACCCTTCAAAACAACATATTTAAACAGCATCTTTATCAGAAACGGTGCTGATGTCAGAAACGGTGACGTGAGTATATGTCACACATCATACTCTCTATGAGATTACGGTTTCCAAGACTACGCAGTGAAACTTGCAGTGAATTCTAACATATTCTAACTGATGTTCCTTCATGCGATCATGCCCCCCCTACAAATGAAATCGTTGCTTTCCAAATGCCTGGTTGCATTGACGTCCTACATGCCAGAAAGAACCAGGGCTCGGACTGGTGAGGGGTGTAGTAAACTCGTGTACTCATGCCGTCGACATCTCATGAGAAGGTCCGATTTCGGGGGCCCAGGTCATGTCTCTGAATCGGAACGTGAATCGCCATGCACACCCGTTGAAAACAGGCGAACGGCCTCGAACGGCCGGCTGCGATCGACCGTGGACCCGTCGGGATCACCCCCCGTTGAAAAGCGGCGAACCCGTCGAACGGGATCACGCTGGGAAGATTAGGCCAGAAGGCTCGCGATAGATAGCGTTCACCAAGCTGAACTCTTCAGTTCGGACCTGAGAAAAACCTCCTCAATCCTGCAAAAAGCTGGTGACTTCTCTGGGAAACGACCCGCTCTTAGACTTCGCCGTCCTTCGTGGGAATGGGCAGTCGCACAAGTTGCCTCAGACGCGCCCCCGCCGATCCTTTTTGGCAGATCTTTCTCAAGAGCACTGAGTAATTCCGAGAGCCATCTTCGCTGGTGTCCGGATGTGTCCGGACGAAAAGGACATCAACGTCAGTCTCGAAGCCACATCGCCCTTCCGCAGTCGATCGTCGATGTCTGGATCATCGGCTTCCGCGTCTTCATCCAAACGACTCACCCTGACTCCTCCCACCCGAATGGCGTTCAGTCACGTCACGAAAACCAGGTCGCCCTCGACTCCGCGTGCCGTTCCGTTCGTTGGGCCGCGTGGCGTCAGGATGCGCACGCAGTAGGAGTGCGAACAAATGGACGCATGCATGGCCAACCTCGGTGCACGGCCAGGTTCGCAGGTTCCCTTCCAGTGAGATGCAGAAAGACAGTAGACTCAGTAGATCTTGTGGAGGGAGTGGGTGGTGCACCCAACTGTTTGGTCTTCGGAGTTCGTGGTCTTCCAAGGGGCCAATTCTTTCATGTGTCCATCGTTTCGTGCCGAGTGGGAGTCTGGAACCTTCGAACCTGCGAACCACCGACAGGGTCTCCCAACATCTCCAGTCCCGGACGCGGGACTGGGAGTGCGTTGGGAAGGTGAAAACGGCTTCCTGGCGCCTTCCTGGCGCATCCCCAGTTCCCAACACGTGGCATGCTCAAGTTCTTCTTTCTCACTTTGGGCACCGCCGCCCGAAGCGAGACATGAGAGAACAAGCTTGAGCCGCCATACAATCAGCGAGACCGCCGCGAGAGTTCTCGAAAGAACATCCTTGAGCAGGGCCTTCTCGCCATACATGGTAGGTTGATCTCGTATATCTATATAGTCATTCTGTTTATTCTCTATGACTCTAATTCTAATGGGGTTCGAGGGTTTTGACCCACAGCCACATATATAACAACCGTTTCTTTAAGTCAACTTCAACTTAGCGTCGCCCAATAGATAGACACAGCACAAAGATCCCCATCAGGTTGTCATCCGGTTGTTAGCCTCCTGATCCCTCTTGCAGATTCACATAGACCCTCAAAAACCGCCGGGTGGGTAGATGAGAATCGTCGTATACCAGGGTTTATTGTTCAGAGTACTGCGTGCCGCTCTTGCGGAGATCGTGCTGCTGCCTTCGCGGCGAACATCGGATACGAAGCATCCGATGTTCGTCGAACCACCATTGTTTTAATGGCCGGGTCATCCCGAACAACCATTGTTTTACGAAGGGTTTTACATGGTTTTACACGACAAAACCAGATCAACCATTTAACAACTGGTCGACTTGACTTCCAGGGAGCTTGGATCGTAAGAGGGAGGACCGTGGGTCCCAAACGGGGTTTTCTCTGGTCCCAAACGCTTCAAAGACAAGTGGTACAAGTGGTAGAGTGAATCCACTCTCCGCATAGTCATACTAACCAAGCAGGGGCAGCCTCACAGTTGTACATGCTACAGAAAACTCCTGTCAACTTCTCCACCAACCCTTTGGAGTCCACACTGTTGACAAATCCCTCCCAATGCCATCCATCAAGCGCCCCACTCACCTCCTCAGCTCCAAAAAAACTCTACCATCACGATTTCTGTGCTTAACCCGAGTGTCGCATTCCAGGACCTTCAGTACGTGACCGAACTTGAGATCCCAGTGGCTGAGGTCACTTACAGACTCCAAAGAGGTCACGTACGGCTCAGACGCCGTGTGTCGGCCGCCACGGCCCTTCCGCGGCCTTCCGGGTCTCGCGGTGTCGCGGACGAGGGGCCAAATGCAAAGGGCGATGTACATGAAGGAGCCGACCCCCGAGGCTCCCCACCTCAGGAACCAACGACACTGTAGGCGTTTTGGCTGGTGAGATTAGGAGCGGCAAGGGTGACGTGCTTTTTTGGGTGCGCGACGAGTCAGTCGCCGCGTCAAAGGCTTTGGATCGTGCAAGAAAAGGAGATTAACTTGGACTGGTGGGTTCAGAAGGGACCAAAACACCAGTCGGATGGCTTTTGGAAGAAAGGAGCTTCTCATCCTTTGCTTCTCAGGCCGGTGAGATTGGGGCCGTTTTTCACCGGAGCATGAACCACCAGCACATTGCCTAAGACAAGAAACACCCCGGAGATTTCCATTTCCTATGAAAAAGCATCCAAAACAAAGCATGTTGGGAACATCAACATCGAATTCACAGCAATTCAATCGGAATCACCGGAATCACCTTGGCACTCCAATTTTTGCCTTTAGCGATCCCCCTCCGCTCGGCGGGATGTGGCTCGGCTGGGTCGGATTGTTGATAGGGTTTCTTGCAGGGACGGGTCCCATTGCCCATCAGTCACAGGATGGTCAGGTCTGATGTCCAATCGCGCGGCACTACGCCACTACGCCACTACGCACGCATCCGATCCATCACGGGGTGCCGCTCCCTTGGGCGGAATGGGGCGCCCTGAGCCGAGCCGAGCCGAGCCCGAGATAGAGAGATTCCCGGTTGGATCCAGGGGGCCTCATTCCCTGAGCCACGCTTTCGTTTCGGATCTGATGTTGAACTCGTCCGGGCTTTGCCAGCAAACACGGACGATCTGTGCGAAATACCCTATGAACCCTGATCTCGGGATTTTGCTGAAGCGAAACGCTTACTGATGCCTCTTACCTCCTCTGCGTCCTTGTCTGCTCTGCTCCTTTTCTGCTTGCTCCGATGCCTTTTTATTGATGAACTTGATGCTCATCACTTCATTCAGCTGGTGCAAGTGATGGCCTTGTCCGCCATCCAGCTTCATCTTGTGGTGTGCCATCCACTTGTCCAGGTCACTGCATTCCTAGAAAACAAGTGTTCAAACAACGCATCGGTTGGTCAACAGAGCTGTTGTCCATGCCAATCCTCGATCTACAGTTTCTCCGAATCGACAACTCTGTCAAGTTCTTTGCACATTGATCAGTTCTGTCAACGTCGCTTCTTGGCTAGAAGCTCCCGAGTGCATCTTCTTGTGATCTATTTGAGAAGCAAAATCATATCAGTCATCATTCACCAATTATACATGAGGTACGGCGGTACGGTCAAAATTTATTCTGTGCGGCTGTTGCCTCCTCAGATTTGTGAGTTTTCCAATGTGTTGGAGCCGTGTCAAAGGGTATCATTAATCCTCTTTTCTTCGCCAGGGTTTGGAGCATGCCCGCATATAAATGCAACGCTCCTATGCCATTGCAAAATCATTGCAAAACATGAAGGCATAATGATAGACATCTGTGCATTAATTACAAGAAACTCCTCACTACACCACGGGACATCCACTCATTTTGAAGTATCTACCAGTCTTGTGCCATGCCACGGGCACTCTAGAGACTTTAACAATTTGCTTTGCTCCCCGCCATTAAAGCACACCGCCCTAAAACGTTCTTCCCTTTCGTTGCGCCTCCTTCCGGCCACTTCCCTTCCATACCCCCTCCTTCCGGCCCGCGACAGGAACAAGAGCCACGGCGGGGCGTCGCCCGGCTTCGGCCGACCCTCAGTAAAGAGCACCACCACCAAGCCAATCTGCCGAGAGGTGAACGGTGAGAGGTGAGGTGAGTTTCAGTGCGGGGTTCCGATCTGATCTGGGTCCCAGTTAAAGCCGAGAAAGGTGGCCGTTGTGCGTCTGGTACCTACCAAATACATCCAAATACCCTCACATGCCGAAACACGCTGCACTTAGTGTGTGTAATGCATGCAACATCATGCAACATCATGCAACTATGTCTTCTGTCCTCAAAGTTTGAGTAGAGCTTCGGGCAATGGCAGTGGCCCGGACTGCACACGGACTGCACACCCGACATGTAGGAGACTTGAGCCCTCTTGCATTCCTACATGTCCTTCAAGTCTTAGAGATCACTTTTGCGACAAACTCCATCCCCCCTGCTTGACCCTTGGCCCTGCAGGACCTCGCCTGGATGGTATTCACCTTGGCACGAGTGGGCCCGGCAGGTGAGGCGAACAGCGTTCGACGCATGTTTCCGAGTCTCGTCCGGCCGTACATGATTCTTAAAACAAAGGATTGATTGGGTAGGACCAGTACCACCCAAAGGGTGGTTGTTAGAGGGAAAATACATCTTCAGGGGGGTCTATTAACCATCCTTTGGGTGGTGCTGGAAGATGGTAGTAGTTAGTTTGTAGATTCTATTTCTTTGCCAGGCCCTGATTTTAAGACGTAGACCTCGGGACAAGTGGCTATCAAGTAGTTGTCCATCTTGGCCACCGTGAGATTCATCAAGTCTCGGATATCTTCTCGAAAGAGCTCGAACTGCTTCACTCGCATGGTCTGGCCTCTCAAAAATACCCCGCTGAGTCTGGCGGGATAGAGGATAGACCACAGCGGCCGAAGTTGGAGCGTGGGGTCTTTCCCCTCTTCTCGGAGCAAAACAAACACATCCGCTCGAATCACCCTGCTTCGACTTTGGTGACGTCGGGTAATTCTCCAATTCCCATGTGGAATTGGACCCTGCGCAGGCGCAGGGGGAAAGAATGCACATGGCCATTTGTCATCCTCGCCTCACCATCCATGTTGACTTGAAGTTTCAGCTATGGATTCCACCCTCAACAGGCCCAACCTTGGTAGATTCGCTTGATCCGCTGCCTGAGCGTTGCGATCCCGAGTGCGGCAAAACGGCTCAAGACCACGACCAAACCTTTAAGGGTGACTACCCTCTAACTCCTTGCCAGGGAATAGATAGGGCGACTTACCCCTAATATAGTCTAAATCCTTGCACCAAATATCCATTAATAATCATAAATAATCAGTGAATCATGAAGACATATAAAGACATTGTATCTGCATATATGAATCCCCCCAGAACAACTTTGTGGCCTCCAGCCAATTCATGATGTCTGGTCAGTCAAGGCTCACGTCGCAGGTGGCACCGAGAAAACACAGCAGTGCAAGCGATGCGACCTTTTCAGAAATGGTGAGTCACAACAGAATAGCAGTCGCAACATAAACGGTCGAAGCAAAAAATACCCAGTTCTCATCACAGTTCTCACTGATCAATCTAGAGGTGTGTGTGATGTGTTAACAAGCAGAAACTAACCTCCCATATCACTTCACGCCAACCGGACAAACCGGACCGAACCCGGCCCGGTGCGCCGAGATGCTTGCCATCAAAGAAATAGTTCTCACGGTTGTAGCCTCAGATCGCCCCGGTTGGTGGCAGGGCAGGATACATGGAAAAAAGGAACAAAAGAACGGCATTTTGAGAGATGTTCCCTATATATTCCGTTTTCGTAGCGAACCTCAGGTTCGGTACGACTGGAGCCGAGGAATGGCACCAGTCATGTCTCAGTGTCTCCGTCCTCACCGGACCTGAGGTTCGGTACGAAAACGGATCCCTACCAGCACCCTCCAACAGGTCACCACCTGCGACGTTTAAGCCTGCATTTTCGCCTCCAAAGGAGACCTGTTGGAGGGTCCTGGTACATGGCCTAAACGGGTTCCGTTCGAAGCCCTTCGAACGGGTTCCGGGGGCAAGTGGAAGACGTCGGACCCGACGTCGGACCCGACGTCGGACCCGAACAGCTTCGTCCTCCCCTTCCAAGAAAAACAAGGCCAAGCTGTTCATCTGTTCATCATCTTGGACGGGGTCATCATCTGTTGAACTTCATCTGTTCATCATCTTCGTCCAAACAAGGTCATAGACGTTTCAATTGCCCAAAACGGCCAATGTCAGACCCGAACTTGCTGAACCCACAGTTTCCAAAAGTTTTCGTGCGGACCCCCGCATTTCAACAACAAACCTCCCATATAGCCTCCCATCCACCTCCACTAATGAATTCGTCAAACTTGCTCTCCAGTGCAAGGTGGATTAACAACCGAGAACATCGAACCACCACACGCCGGGACGGAACTGCTGTGAGGTCGGGAGGCAAATGGCACGGTTTAGATGCACAATGGCTCGGGAGCGAGCTTGACACATGGACTCCCGTGGAGATCAACCTACCATTTTGTTGGAGGGTCAGGATATGAGCTACATAAATCAAAATGGTAGGGGGGAGGATGCTCGAACAACAAAATAGCAGGGGGAGGAGAATGTTGGAGGAGTAGATACCCGCATCATCTGCACCGCTCCATAAACAAAGTAAACTCTGACTCCGACCATGCCGAGCAGCCAAAGAGGCTCCCAACCCCGCCCGCTGCGAGGGCTGCCAGATCCATGGTAACCTCCGCCAGATCCGGTCAAAGGACAAACCTCTGACTGTAAATCAACTCCCTGGTTCATCAGCAAATACCTTCGAAAAAGGATAGAGGCCATCGCTATTAGGTTGGAGGCCATCGCTTGTAGGTTGGAGATGGTTGGAGGCCATCTCTATAAGAATTTAATTCGAATGTATTCGAATGAGTCTAAAAACCTAGGGATGCCACGGAGTTCTTGTAAAAGAAGAAGTGACGTGACAGGAGTGCTTCGTTGAACGAGAGAATGACGACCTCTGCTTGGGTAAATTCGGACTCAGCATGACCTCTGGTGGGTGGTTTCAACCAAACAATCATGGCTGCTTTAGGCTCTTGACAGGAAGCTCAAAGAAGCAGCCAGTGTTGTTCAAGTCTCACTATCTTAGCTTGGATGTACATCTTCAGTCGGCGCAACAGGTGAAAAGAATCACATGCATCCTGGCTGTTGGTACCGTTTGATACACAACAGGTCAAAGTTTGGGAGGCCAAGAACATCCGAACATCCAACCTGTGAATTCGTTCCGAATGTCTGGCATCCGACAGCACGACAAAACGACGGAGCTGCTTCCCCACCTTCCGAGGCAACTGGTACAAACAGGGCATAGGACCAAAACCTCTTGAAACATCTCAAACACCCTCCAGCACCAGTTTGGGAATATGGTCAACTCAGGATCCTTGATGTTGCCAGTAGGAATCTTATGCCCAAATCAGCCCTGCGGTGTCCGGAAATGAGGTCAATATATTCCAGCAGTCACGAAGGGGTGCCGAACTTGGAGGATAGGGGTGCCCATTATCCACTCACATAGGGACGACTACAAACTACCCCTTTGCGACACCTGGTTGGAGAATCTTGAGCATTTTTTCGCCTGTTTCACGAGGAGATGTCATCATCTATACTAATACAGTGTGTTCCTGTTTCTTTTAGTACACACGGTAGTTCCAAGTTACGATCACTTCTGGGAGTGCCCTCCAAGTGACGCGCTCTCTGTTCATTTGCTCCCATCCCATGCCTCCGAACCCCATTTAAGTCCGCCGGACCGGGACTTCTTCGGTCCAAAGCACCGGTCACCGCGCAGCGGTCCGAGGAGGCGGAGAGGCGTCAATGCAGGCGGTCGGCGGTCACGCCATGGCGGTGGGTGGCGGAGGCGTTTTCTGGCGGAGGTTGTGTGGGGTGAAACTGCGACACTGGGAGTATTTGGGATAACAACCATCCTCAACTGGATAAAGTCGTTTTGTAGATAGGTAAACATGTGAAGAAATAGAATCATTAGAATCATGTGGACTTCTGGATTCTCACATAAGTTATTTCTTAGGAAGTTACACCATCACTGATCGTGTTCGCAGGCTTTGGTAGGCCATGCCACCATTTAAGCCACCGTGGCTGTTTGAAGCAAATCAAGAGCTCTGTTGCTATATCAGTTCCTTCATGCCTTCTCTCTTGACCCAAAGAAGGATGAAGTCCCGATCAAAATGTTGGGCGCGGGCGCGAAGAAACCATGCCCAAATGTTGTTTTTCTCCTGAAGTTAGCCAAACATCTTTGACATCTCTAACTGTAGGTATTCAGTCAGGACAAGAAAAAGTTCAGGACTGCAGGTATGGCAGCAGTAGGACTGCAGGTCACTAACTTGATGGTATTTGGACACACTCAACATGACACGCCAAATTTTGGTTCAATATTGTTCATGCCACCACTTACATTTAAGATCTCCTTTTGAGGAGGGTCTTATCAGAGCCATTTCTGGTGGGTCGTCTCGGTTGAAAAAAACCGAACCCTCTCAACAAGAACACCTAAGGATCCGACACCTGGGACATCGACCTCCTGGTGTTCTACCATTGTTTCCTGTAGGTAGTGGGTCTTTTTCATGACCTTTGCCCCCCCAACATCAGAGTCTCTCAAGAGATGCGGGGGACGTTCTTATCACCAAAATCGAGTTCACGTGAGGCTCATCTGCGACCTTTGGGCTCCAGGATTGACAAGGAGAAACCCAGATGATCCTTGGATTTCCCCCAGATGATCCATGGTGGCGCAGTCCTATCGCCGCCCCATGACTGGTGGTTTGAGGTGGTTTGGTTTGGTTGTCATATTATTTACTTGCATGGATCATGGATCGTTTGGATTTGGAAACACCTCAAGAGACTTGAAAAGAACTCCGGCTTCGCTGGGGACGAAGGACGAAAGTATGCAGCAAAGCAGTGAAACTGCACCATGACCCACCAAGGTCCTTTCTTTTTGTTTTTTTCGCTGAATCAACTCGGAGTTTTGGGATGGGACGGATGGCTGATCTCGGGTCGACCTTTTTTAGCCGAAGCCCAAGTCAAAGGGACACGAGGCTCTCTTGGAAACGAGACATTGTAGGAGTACATGACTGCACACGGGAAGGGCAAACTGACATAGATGCGGTGAAGGATAGAACATGGTGAATCCCTGGACGGAGGAGGTGAACATGGAAAGAATCACACCTTTTGCAGTGAATGATTCTGGATTCAGGGTGACTCGAGGTCAAAACCTAAACAAAGGACCGATCAGATCTATTTTCATCTATCCTCCCCTTGATCAAATCGGTGCCGTCGAATGTGGTCGACTTCACAGTGTCACATGACGAACACCAAGCCACCACGCTGACTTGGGACTCCGGATGGGGCCGTGGGAATCGGAATCACACTCCCTGGATCTCCCTGGAACGTTCCATGGTTATGTGGATGGCATGGCCAACTGTTTGTTTCTTTTCGGAAGACCATGAAATTTGAAGAGCAAACAGGGGGGAACTCCACTTCCATGTGAGATTTCAATCCATCCACTCATTTTCGCAAGTACTAAGCACCCCTGGAATACCCAAAACCCCAGAGGAGTGCCACATCGTAACTTAGGGATCAGGACACCTCCCAACTAGGCCTGCGTTGCTGGAGTTTCACATTTCTTGTGGCCTTTGGGCACTTCCATTTGCTTACCTAAGCACCGCGGTGCTGAATTTTCAACACATTCCCCAGAAGTGGATTCACCCACAGGGAAGTTAAAAGTCCCCTTAAGCAAAATCAGGAGGACCACCTCCCAACTCCCAAATCACCTCTCACCATCCACCGCAAGCCAACCAAACGATCCACTGCAACCTTGGCATCAGCCAAGACCGGATTGGGAAGCTTGATGTCAACATTCGCCACGGCCTGGTGCAGCAAAAAGCGTAGACATCGGTAGACGCGGTCAATGGTCTGTCTGTCTGTCAATGGTCTCTATCTGTCGGTCAAGCACTAGAGACACAAAGGATTTGCACTCCCTGGAATAATCATGGAAGTGGAGTGCACCCCGTTGTTTGTAGAGGAAAATGGTCCCCCAAAGGGGACCATTTTCCAAGTCCATGAGTATTTCAGGGAGGGTCTAGTAACTCTTACCAAGTCAATCTAAACTGGTCATAAGAGGTTGTTTTCGTCGTGCGTTGTGATACTTCACGGCAACCAGTGGGTACAAAGGGTTGAGTAATTACTGCCCTACAGAAGGGCCCACTGCAACCCAAGTCCTGCTGAAGAAGAACCAGTGACACATGTGAGGAGTGGGTAATACTTTTGTTTCCCCTTGACTGATGTGCCCCATCTTGTCTAAGGCAAATGAACAACCCAAACAACCAGCGCTATCAGCCCTGGTCACAACCTTTGTCTCTGGCTCGGAACATTTGTCTTACATCCTGATCCTCACCCTCCTACTAAACGACCCGTGCCTTCACCGCCCTATCTACCTAGCCAATGGATGGAGAGTATGACTGAATGACGGAGCCACTCACTAAACCTCCAAGCTGGACGGCGGGTTCATACCGACGGAGTAGGTCTCAAATTCGCTTGGAAGCCATAAGATCTCGATGAAGCCCCAAACACCAGGCTCCATGGGTTGGCTCCATGGGTTGGCGGCTCCATAGTTCGGCTCTCCGATCTGCGCGGCACCGGTCGACCGGCTGCCCAAGGTAGTTGGGCGTGTTTCTGTGGTTTTTTCAGGTGCTCACCCATGAGGTTTTTTAGGTTTTCACTCATGAGGAGTGGTCACCCATGAGTACAGGTTTTTCACTCCTTTTTGTTCCACTGGTGAGACCACTCCACAACCACCAAACTCCTTGTCCTGGACGCCCCCAAGCTCGGTGAGGGCGGAGGTTCTGGGGGTGAGGAACGAATGAAGTAAAGAGGATGACACCAATGAGGGAGTGATTCTATCGGGTCGCAAACGCGACACGACCAAAGAATGGGACGGCTGCTATAGTGTTTGGACTGCCGTCTCATTGATCCCCTCTGGCACCACCCCAATGTAAGCATATATGGCATACATGGAGTGTCTGGGTATGAATGCATGATTCCGAAGAAAGAATTCAACAAGTAAGTATAATTAATATAAGGCTCATCTAGCCTGAACCGGGTGTCCTCCAAATAGCGAGTGGGTGTCCAAATTTCTACCCGTCCGGTAAACTCCAAAGCACATGCTGGCAGCTTTTTCCACGGACTCGCAGAATTTGCTGCAATTTGCAAACAATCAGCACTTGCACGCATCACGTGGCATCCCATTCAAAACCATAATGATAGCAAATAGCACCAAGTTCAATTACCAGGCTCCATGCGCACATTGCAACCAAGCCAGCAGGTCAAAAGGTTGAATCTTCGCTTATGCTATTTTTCACTTTGATCGTCCATGTGACGCGATATAGTCCCCCGCTACCACATCGCCTCAACAAGCCGCGGCTCTAAGAATCACGAAGCTTCAAGGCAACCTTCAACGGACGCGACCGTTTTACTCGAACAACTCTCACCTCGTCCTAAGGCCCTCCAGAAGCTCAAAGCTTCAAGAAGCACACACCACAAACTCAAACAGGTTGTGGCTGCCAGTAAACGGGCACACCGGCTGCCAGCTAGCTGGCAGTCAAATAGCCTACCAAGGTTAAGCGCACCCAGCTCAACGGCCCGGCCCTTCTGCTTTGGTCTTTGTTGGAAACTGAGGTGTCCTTACTGAACC